GGTTTAGGGTTTAGGGTTGTGAGTCTTTTTGGTTTGGTTGAGGTTATCAGCAAGTTTGGGAGTTTGAGTTGTTTGTTCGTTTGTTTATTTTTTGCTTTTTGGTTAGTTTTGCTTCTTAGGTTGTAGGATATGGGCTTTCTTTTATCCTTGTTATTTTTTGAGTTGCCAGGGTTTCTTATGTTTATGACTAGCACAAGTTACCTTGTACGGTGCGTGTAATTCGTTCGCGATTGTAAATTCATGTTTCTTTGTTGTTCTTTTTGGTTTGTACTCCCCGCTAGGCGCTATCTCCGGGTAAGCATACACAACAGAGCTGCCGGTCTTGGGGTTGGAAGAGGTTCGACACGCTTATGCAGTTTTAAAACCTTTTTTGGGGACGATTGGGGTTTAAGGTTTAGGGCTGTTGTAGTGGGGTTACCGACTAAAGCGACTCCCAAGACTGTCTGCTTCAGGCGGAGCGGGAAATGGAAGAAGAGGAAGAGGAGGAACGTGAGCAGCAGCCGCTCGCAAGGGTACCCGAAAGCCTACTAGGCCCCGTACTCTTCTATCCTAACCTTGAGGGTAGCGTACAGCGTGAGAGGGTTTAGGGTTTAGGGTTTAGTGTTTAGAGTTTAGGGTTTAGGGTTTACTAGGCCTTCTGCCCCTGAGTGTTTCCTTACACTCCATGCCATCTTGGAGCTGCAGACAATAGGGCACTCCAGACAGAGACTCTGAAAAGAAGGATCCCTACAACAGCGACTCCCCCAACAAAGCAGGACCCCAAGCCCAAACGCTTATACAGGGGCCTGATTAATTACCAATACTATTTAGTTCCTTCTTACAACTATAGTATGGTTCCCCAAAACCCTCGTGTATTGATTAAGATCCCTTTTAAATCCGGCAATCTGAGGATCGAGATTGAGAAGTTCGTGGACCTCATGTACTGCCGCGACAGCGAAGAGCCCAACAGCTGGCCTTTCGCCAGCCTCACTGAAGAGAGCCCGTCTCAGTTCCTCGGATTCCGATTGGATCTGGGGTTGAAGGGCTGAGGGTTGGGGGTTAACAGGGTTTGTAAGGTCTAGAACTTTGGGTTTCGGGTTTAGGGTTTCGGGTTCATAGGGTTTAGGGCTTTGGGTTTAGCGCTTAGGGT